ATGGTCAAAATACTGTAAAGCATTTAATTTTGTGAAATTTGCGAAAAATTGTCTCTTGAAATGAAATGAGCTTGCAGACAATAAAGCATGGAACAAATATGGTACATAAAAAGTTGATGTTGGATAATAATGATTGATGTCTTACTTCTTTTAATAGGTCTTCCGCCTTCTTTATTTCCTCAAAACTTTCTTTCTTCTCATCTGTTTTGATTTGGTTTGGTTCCAAATTTAGATCCATTTTATTTTTTTTGGCTTGTTTTCTCAATTCAGGATCTGCGGCTTTAAGAATTTTTTCTGGCTTTTCTTCTTTTTCTGGCATTGCTTTATCTGCTGGTGATTTACTTTCAGGGATTGGTTTCTTTTGTTTCTTCTCGAGTGGCAGTGTGTCTGGTTCCACCTTCTTGGATTTTTCTGGTTGTTTCTTTTCCTCTTTCACTGGTAGTTTTGTTTCTGGTGCCTTTTTTTCTGATTCTTCCCGTTTTTCTGGTTGTTTTTCCTCTTTTACAGGTGGTTTTATCTCAGGTGCTTTCTTTTCTGGTTCTTTCTGTTTTTCTGGTTGTTTTTCCTCTTTTACTGGTGGTTTTATCTCTGGTGCTTTCTTTTCTGGTTCTTTCTGTTTTTCTGGTTGCTTTTCTTCTTTCACTTGGGGTTTTGTTTCCGGTCCTTTCTTTTCTGGTTCTTTCTGTTTTTCTTCTTTCACTGGTGGTTTTGTTTCTGGTGCCTTTTCTGGTTCTTTCTGCTCTTTCACAGGTGGTTTTCTTTCTGGAGCTTTCTTTTCTGATTCTTCCCGTTTTTCTGGTTGTTTTTCCTCTTTTACAGGTGGTTTTATCTCAGGTGCTTTCTTTTCTGGTTCTTTCTGTTTTTCTGGTTGTTTTTCCTCTTTTACTGGTGGTTTTATCTCTGGTGCTTTCTTTTCTGGTTCTTTCTGTTTTTCTGGTTGCTTTTCTTCTTTCACTTGGGGTTTTGTTTCCGGTCCTTTCTTTTCTGGTTCTTTCTGTTTTTCTTCTTTCACTGGTGGTTTTGTTTCTGGTGCCTTTTCTGGTTCTTTCTGCTCTTTCACAGGTGGTTTTATTTCTGGAGCTTTCTTTTCTGATTCTTCCCGTTTTTCTGGTTGTTTTTCCTCTTTTACTGGTGGTTTTATCTCAGGTGCTTTCTTTTCTGGTTCTTTCTGTTTTTCTGGTTGTTTTTCTTCTTTCACTGGTGGTTTTATCTCAGGTGCTTTCCTTTCTGGTTCTTTCAGTTTTTCTGGTTGTTTTTCTTCTTTCACTGGTGCGTTCTTTTCTGGTTCTTTCTGTTTTTCTTCTTTCACTGGTGGTTTTGTTTCTGGTGCCTTTTCTGGTTCTTTCTGCTCTTTCACAGGTGGTTTTATCTCTGGTGGTTTCTTTTCTGGTTCTTTCTGTTTTTCTGGTTGTTTTTCTTCTTTCACTGGTGGTTTCTTTTCTGGTTCTTTCTGTTTTTCTGGTTGTTTTTCTTCTTTCACTGGTGCTTTCTTTTCTGGTTCTTTCTGTTTTTCTTCTTTCACTTGTGGTTTTGTTTCTGGTGTCTTTTCTGGTACTTTCTGCTCTTTCACAGGTGGTTTTATCTCTGGTGCTTTCTTTTCTGGTTCTTTCTGTTTTTCTGGTTGTTTTTCCTCTTTTACTGGTGGTTTTATCTCAGGTGCTTTCTTTTCTGGTTCTTTCTTTTTTTCTGGTTGTTTTTCCTCTTTTACTGGTGGCTTTATCTCAGGTGCTTTCTTTTCTGGTTCTTTCTGTTTTTCTGGTTGTTTTTCTTCCTTTACTGGTGGTTTTGTTTCTGGTGCCTTCTTTCCTGGTTCTTTCTGTTTTTCTGGTTGTTTTTCCTCTTTTACTGGTGGCTTTATCTCAGTGCTTTCTTTTCTGGTTGTTTTTCCTCTTTTACTGGTGGCTTTATCTCAGTGCTTTCTTTTCTGGTTCTTTCTGTTTTTCTGGTTGTTTTTCTTCTTTTACTGGTGGTTTTGTTTCTGGTACCTTCTTTTCTGGTTCTTTCTGTTTATCTGGTTGTGTTTCTTCTTTTACTGGTGGTTTTGTTTCTGGTACCTTCTTTTCTGGTTCTTTCTGTTTATTTCGTTGATTTTCTTCTTTTATTGGTGGTTTTGCTTCTGGTACCTTCTTTTCTGGTTCTTTCTGTTTATCTGGTTGTTTTTCTTCTTTTACTGGTGGTTTTGTTTCTGGTACCTTCTTTTCTGGTTCTTTCTGTTTTTCTGGTTGTCTTTCTTCTTTCACTGGTGGTTTTGTTTCTGGTAACTTCTTTTCAGGTTCTTTCTGTTTTTCTGGTTGTTTTTCTTTTTTTGCTGGGTGTTTTATCTCTGGAGCCTCCTTCTCTGGCATCACCTTTTTAGGTTCACCCTTGTTTTCAAAAATGTCTTGTTTTTTTTTATGTTCATCTTTTATATGAGATTTCCACTTGTCCTGATCTACAGTCTTATCGCTTTCTTGCCTCTTACTCAATAAGCCATCTTTCCCTACAAGTGTACAAACATAGTATAACTGTTATAACCTTTCCCTTAGTAAAGCTGGTTATTACATAATGATAATAGGAATGAAAAACTGAAATATTTTTCTGAGCAAATAACTTTGCAATTTAAAGTTGGTCAGTTGACAGTACATGTCAGATGATTAATTACACTGGTACCTACCAAGAATATGATTGACTTGATCTATTGTCACAATATCAAAGTATACTACAGCAACACCGGCTGCTATTACTAATACTAATAACAATACAATGTAGATTCCTTTACTGGATGAAGGTTTTGGCGAAGGTGATGAAGATTTCTGTTTTTTTTCTGCAATAAATAAATAACAGAGAAAGCTTATTGGTTATATGAACGGATATCACTACACGTAAAATTCAAAGTGTACAGTCATCAGTGAATAAACAAGCCTGTCAGATTCAATGCCAAAAAAAACATTGTCAAAATGTTATCATAATTTTATGTGTTTTTGTGTAAGTTTGACAGTTTAATATATAATAAACTTTATTACCAAGCAAAATATTAAATTCATTAGCATATCATTTGAATCTAATTATCATATTATTTGAATATCATAAGAATCTCATTAGCATATCATTTGAATCTAATTAGCATATTATTTGAATATCACATGTATCTCATTAGCATATTATTTAAATATCATAAGAGTCTCGTTAGCATATCATTTGAATCTTATTAGCATATTATTTGAATATCGTATGAGTCTCGTTAGCATATCATTCGAATATCACATGTATCTCAGTAGCATATTATTTAAATATAAGAGTCTCGTTAGCATATCATTTGAATCTAATTAGCATATTATTTGAATATCACATGTATCTTATTAGCGTATTATTTGAATTTAATTAGCATATTATTTGAATCTAATTAGCATATTATTTGAATCTAATTAGCATATCATTTGAATCTAATTATCATATTATTTGAATCTAATTAGCATATTATTTGAATCTAATTACTACATCATTCATTTCATGCACAAGTAACAGAGACTGGGAATATCAAAAGATGGTAATGTATATGACACAATGTACATGGACAACCTATGGTAATTCTGTAGTACCTATCACTGCAAATCTATACCACTGGGGTTAGCAACATGTTGTAAGTTCCATAGAGATTCAAAACTGAACTGCGTTGTTTTGTTTTTTTTATTCAAATTGATTAAAGAAATTTTTTAGTTTATATTTAAAACTATAATAATCTTTAAAATACATAAAAATACTACTATCTTAGAAAAATTGTTTTATATTGTATTTATTATTGTATGCCTTGGGACCAATATAACTGTTAACTTGAGTGGGTTGGTCTGTCTGCAGTGAACCTTATTATCATATCATCAAGGTTGTAATGGGTCATTGACTTGATACAGGTCAGTGACCTTTCAATGAACTCCAAACACTGTCATAAGCAGTTCATTTGTTTCAATGTAATTTGATTACGTCACAGCAATTAAACCCTACAAGTGAAATAGTTATTTCAAAATCAGTTACATAATACCATTATGTCTCAATTACTACCCTTCCAAAGCAAACCGTGATTTTTATTTTGTTTCATTTTTGTATTGCTATATACTGATAGAAATGTGTATTTCTAAAGATCCAATAAGTTATTATTATTATTATATCATGTTAGAACAACAAATCTTCAACACAAATCAATACATACAGTTAAGTCTATTTGCTAACTTTTAGAATACGCATTCAGCAGGTAATTATTTTTCAAAACTTTAATGAGGGAACTGCATGGTTTAATCATTTTAACAGATCTTAAGTCTGTATTGTACGTCAGACATTATACATTCTGTTCCTGTCAAAAACTAAACTACCGGTATGACATTATCATAATTTTATTACCTAATAATTGATAAATATTTTTTTTATAGTTTCTTGTTACACATGTAAATGATGAATGACTCAAAGCTAAATTTTACATTGAGTAAATATATGTTTGTTGAATCATCATCCTGTCTAGGTATCTTCCAGGTGAGGTTTATCAATAATTGAGTGACCCCCTCACTCGATAATTATTATCACCTATTCAGAAATTAATAATTAAAGCGAACCTAAATGTGGCCTTAATTTATAGTTGTGTATATTCTAAACTGTATTCGAAATAATAGTGCAGTGGTTTAATTTTGTTTTAATTATAACTGTAGCTTGGATAGGCATTTGAAGTGCTTGCAATTAAACACCATGGAGGCCATTCATGGAGGGGAATAAATAACGAACGAACATATTTAACATCCGGATACTTTTCAAAGCTATGACGTTTTAGTATCTGATTACATTCGTATACGCCATTGTACATAGCCGTTCATGCTGCCAAGCATTGTGTACTACTAGTATAAAGTCAACTTTTATATGCACAATGTGCTTTTTAAAACTTGGGTTAGAGCCTTATGCGTTTGAACCACAGTATTCTGAGAGTGAAAGCCCAATTGCGTTAAAGTACCGTACTTCCCCGATCGTAAGTCCCTCTCGAGTATGAGCCCATCCCTATATTTTTACTTGGTATTATCGAGTT